GTTTCTTGGTTTCCCAGCTTCATAAGTTCCAATGTGGTGTGGATCTCAGAAGACACTGGTGGTTCTTTCCCTGGGGGGGCTGTAGTCTGCCACACTGCAGCCACTTACCAGGCAGGGGAGCTTCTTGCTTGGTTTTCCAGCATCCTAAGTTCCAACATGGCACAAATCTCAGGAGACACTCGTGGTTCTCCCCCTGGAAGGGCTGTAGTCTGCCACACCACTGCCACTTACCAGGGAGGGGAGGTGCTTGAGAACTATAATTTTCAATACATAGCTTTTTTACAAGCTTTGTTAGGTTGATTTCTAAGGATTTCATTGTTTTGGAGGCTATTGTTAAAGGTGTTGTTTCTCTTATTTCTCTCTCAGCGAGTTTGTTGTTTGTGTACAGGAATGCTGTTGATTTTTGTGTATTGACTTTGTATCCAGTGATGTTGCTAAATTTGCTTATTAAATCTAGTAGATTTTGGTGGAGTTTTTAGCCCTGTTGTCTTGATCAGAAAAGTTGCTATTTGGGCTCAGCTAGATTCCACTGCCTTATAACCATGTGAAGGTTCCCCAAGGAGAAGATAACCCTCAATTCACACTATCCAGATACTAAATTGTAGGCTCCCCAACTTACATCACAGAAGAGCATTTCAGAGTGCATCCATGAAAGGCAAAGTAGTTTAATTAAGCATAATTAAGGAAGAACATACAACAAAGGCAGTGTGAGCTCTTGAGTGATTAGGCACATGGTGTTCAGGGTTGGGGTTTTCATGTGGACTTGAAGGGGGTCTTCAAGACAGGTGATCTAGGGAACACATTCCTCCTATGGGTCAGGTTACCCATTTTAGTGAGCTGGGTAAATTACTTTTATGTATTTGAAGTTATTAAATCTAGTAGATTTTGGTGGTATTTGAAGTTGAGAGATATGCTTTCCACTTAGTGTTATTTCCTTCAGGGAAGAAATCTGTTGGATTAGTGAGTCTATAGTATCAGAGGAAATGCACTGGTGAAAATTCTGGGCACAGTTTGAAATTTCAGGCCTTAAGAATTTTTTGGAGTAATTTTCTTGGAAGGGAAAAAGGTACTGTAACCTGAGGTGCCTTTGTGTCCTGAAACTGTCATTTTTCTTAAAGTATAATTTAAAGATTACAGTCTCCTTGTGTCTATTCTCCCTGTTACTATTTCTTCTTTTCTATTTCAATGGTTTCCTTGTGGTCTACTCTCCTCATAGCAGGTGATCTGAGCATTGCACATGGCAGCTTGGATCTCCTAGGGAGAATTCCAAGAGATAGGAAAGGGGACCTGGGAACTAAATAGCCAGCATTATTTGTGCCACATTCTGTTGGTTAAAACCTTTAGAATCTACCCAGATTACAAGCAAGGATCATGAAATCTACCTTTCAAGAACCAAACTCAAAGAATTCATGGCCATGTTTAATCATTCTCAAAATCTGCAGATGAGTCATGGATTTGCAAGCATTATTCTAAAATGTATCTGTTATAAACTCAAATTGCAGAATAGGTCATATCTGCTTTTTGTAAAAACATTTCACTGACTCTTCTTTTTCAATGCAATTCTTCCTTAATGGAAGAGGGAAAAATGGAAAATTGCCAGAGTTTTGGAAAAGCTCCAGTCATGAAGTTAGAAGATGCGGGTTTGAGTTTTGACAATCACTGTCTTTTGCTATGAACTTGGATAAAGAATTTAACTTGTTTCCCTCTTCCCATCTGAAAAGCTGAGCACAAGGCTGTGGGTTTTCTCAGTTTCACAGAGGTGATTGTGAACTTTCAAGATGACTGTGATAAATGTAAAAATCACTATGTAAAATGTCACTCGACATGGGGTAGCATCACAAAATACTCATTGGCATGGTAACTATGCATGGCAGTTTACAGTAGGTCAATTCTGGACACCTGCAAAAGTCCTCGCATGAAATTGCCGATGCTTCATTGCTGACTTTCAGTGTTCTCTCAGGAATGTCACCCTGTAAAAATATTTTGCTAAATTAGTATCATATTCTTCATATTGTAACAGGATGTATGTTAAACAACCTCCTAAGAGTTTCACTTTCCAGGTATCCAGTAAGAGTCTGCATGAACATTTATGGGTGCTTACCTCTGCCGTAGAACCCCTCTGTCCCTGTAATGGGAGAACCACGATTGTCCTCATGTAGTGGACGTGGAGGCAGGGGCTCACTTGGTGAGGTCACACAGCTTGCTTTCTTTCCAAAGAAAGTGAAGAAAAGATGGGATGAAACTCTGGAGATCACACTGAATCCTAGCAGTAGGGAAAAGGAAGATGGGGAGGGAGTAGTGAGGTGCTTGTTTTTGAGGGCTGTGAGTCCACCATGGGTTAGAGTCTTCACCAGACTCCCCTGTCTTGGGCCCAAGAGCAGCCTGAGGTACAGTGCTCAGCCCCTTCTTGGTTCTGGGTTTACTTTTACTATTACTGTTGGAAGTAATTAAGGTTGCTGGTTGCCATTTCTTGTTTCCTTCTAAAATTAGAAAAAGTGTATTTCATAAACACTTATTTAGTACTGACCTAGTTAACTTTTTTATATTGAATATATAAATAATGCAGAATTATGTCTTTCAGCTTTCTTTTCCAATGTGCGCATCTGTGGCAGTAAGCACATTTCCCTGCCATGCAACCATTACCACCTTTCATCTCCAGAGCTTTGCATCTCCTGCTGAAACTCTGCTTATGGACCATGACTCCTCTTTCCTCTTTCCACTCGGGCAGCCTCAGGCAGCCACCAGTCTATTTGTCTTTATGAATCTGATGATAAAATCATCTAGTAGTTGACCTTTTGTGACTGGGTTCAGTTCCTATCAGGTTCTTCCAGGCTACCACAGCGCTGGGATGCCTTTTCATCAGAAGGCCGAATAACATCGCTTTTCATGTGGGTATCATGTTTCATTTCCTCGCTTCTCCATCTGTGGACCCTCATGTTGCTCTCGTCTTTTTATTGAGAACACTGCTACTGTACATCCTGTTTAATTTTAACATTTTTTTTCTTTGCACATTGGAAAAGCCTATGGATAAAAATGCACTTGCAGAGTTATTATGAGGTATTTTTAGGTTATTCCTAATATGAAACCACAGCAAATATTGACTGAATTCTTAGGATGGTCCAAACGCTTTCACATGAAATTTTCCATCTCACAACTATTTATGAGGCAGTAACCTTGTTATTACCCTCATTTTATGAGGAAACAGAGACAGAGTATTTCCCCCCAGAATCACAGTGGAGGAAGAGGAAGAGCAGGATAAGAATCCAGGTAGTCTGCTGTAGAAACCTTCATTCTTGTTATTGTTATTCCTGACCTCTCTGCCAATGAAGCCTGCTAAAACCCAGTGCATTATCACTGACCTGGCTCAACTTGCTTCCATTAAGAAACAAACAAACAAGCAAGCAAACAAACAAACAAACAAAACTCAAATATGGCTATACATAATTTGATAGAGGTAACAATCACTGAAGATACTTTCTGGTGATTCAGTGCTTGGCTTTGGTTCAGACAAGCAAAGTCTTTCATTTCTTCAGTGTCAAGGATACAGTTATTGGCCTCTGGCTTATTTTGAACCTGGATGTTTTACGTGTGATTCAGCAATAGTTTCCAAGTTTCATCAATCAAATATTAAATGATGATATGGATTTCTTTGGTGCTATGCATTTTTCTGGTGGTGAAAGCATTGTCCACCCCAGCACAGTGTCCCTGATGGAAGTCACCATTCAATAAATGGATTTCTGAGCCCTGTCAGCACAGTGAAGTGTCACAAGATGCTTAAAGATGACTCATATTTTAAGATTAAATAGGTATAGCTGCATGAGTTGGGTTTTACCATCATTCATCAGATGTTCTGTGTGACCCAGGAAGTGGTGTGGAAGGTGCTGTTTTGGTCACAGTGGGCAATCAAAGTGACTCATGTCATGGTCCCTGACCCTACATCCTTGGCATCTAGAGCTCTGTAATGAGATGGGATGGATTTAAGTCCACATCTGCCACTGGCAGATGGTGTGGCATTGAGTGTTACTTAACATGCTCTTGCCTCAGTCTCTCCATTTCTACAATGTGGCTAATGATACCAAGTACCTTGCAAGGCAACCTTGTGGTATAGTAAATGTGCAAGAGGCACCTGTGGTCTTCGCTGTTATTCTTCCCATGAGTCATATCTTAGTCACCTAATAAACCATAAGCAGTTGGATTTCTATTCCATCAGGCCCTGTCTTTCCTGTTTCTTTTCCTTCATATATTAGCTTCATTTTATTATTTTATGGAGGTTTATAAAACCTCACGCAAGTACAAGACAGTCTCTTTGAAGGTGTGCATGGAGGCAACAATTTGACACATTATTTTTTCTTTTAAACTTTTACTTTAAAAATTATTACAGATTCACAAAAAAATTACCAAAAATAGTATAGAGGTATAGTGTATCTATTTATTAGCCAGGTTCTTCTAAAAGTAAATCATTTATTATTGTGGTACACTGCCTAAACCAAGAAGGTGACAATACAATTTACTAGACTACAGATTTCACTTCAAAGTCTCTGAGACAGGCAAGGTGGCACATACCTATAATCTCAGGCATTCTGGGAGGCTGAGACAGGAGGATTTCCAGTTTGAGCCCAATCTGGGCAACTCAAAATATAAAATACAAAAAGGGCTAAAGATTAGCTCAGTACAAAGGCCCTGATTTCAATCTCCAGTACCACAAAACATATCTCTCTTTATTGTTCTATGAGATTTAATGTACTGTATAACTGCTATCACTGTCATGACATAGAACTTTTCCTTCCTGCAAACCAATTCTAGAGGATTTTTTTTTTAATGCACATGAAACTATATGCTGCTTTGTTTTGATTCTAGTTTTTCCCTAGGAGAAAGAGCAAGACTTGAGAAGATAGACTGGGCCCTTGCTAGTTTCATAGCAAATGCTCAATAAACACGTTATATGATGAATAAATGCTTTGCAAGCTCATTGTAATTCACTTGTCTGTTTTCCCTCTCAGTGTCTGGGAATGTGTATGAATACAACAGCAGGACAGGGGCCAGAAAGTGGAAGAAGCCCCCCAAGTACCACGAGGAGGCCGTGGCAAACATGTACTCTGACTCGAAGCCTCTTCCTTCTGGAGAACTGACATCCTCCACAATTCCTGTGTGAGGAGAGTGTTTTCCAGTGTTTCTGGATTCTATCTGTGACTCTTTTGGGCAGTTTTTAATGCATGATCTAAAATCAAAACTTAGATACACACGCCAGCCGCTTTGACTGTATCTGCAGCTCTGTGTGTAATCGTACAGCTCAGACTTCCGGCAGAGGGTGCCTGGCGCGGTGGACTGTGAGTCTCTGGATGTGTTTTGCTGAACCAGAGGCCATGCTGCACATTGTCTTGCTTTGCCCAGCGCACTGTATGCTTCCTTAGATCAGAGGCTTTCCTGCATTCACTACTGTCAACCCAACATGTGCACAGCGCGGAGTGGAGACTCCATGCTTATTTGGTGAATAAATACATTGAAACACACGATGTGTCATCTGCCTTTAATTTGGATTGCTTATTCTACCATAACCCACAGAATGGAAATGTAATTATCTTTAGGAAATAGTTTTTTGGTTTCTAGAAAATGCAAGATTTTGCAGCAATTCTCCGAAGTGTTGTTGATCTTATCTTTTGACAGCTCTGTGGAGAATGATCACCTGAAACTTTACGTGCTGATGACTTGCCAAGGGGAGGTCAGAAGCAAGACTTCTGAGATGCATGCGCCCAGACAACTAAGGCTGCAATGCATGCAGTCTGTTTTCCGGCCTCCTTCCTGGGCTATCGTGGGTCTGGGGCTGCAGGAGGCCCTGGTGCTGTTGGTGGGAGGATCTAAGTCCACATTTAGTTCAAAATGGAGTAGACTGTGAGATAACATTTTTAAAACAAATCTTATCCAGGATAAAATACATCATGAGCACTGAAGGAGTCTTTGCATCAGAAAATACCAGGGGCCCAAATGCCGAGAAATGCTCTGATATTCATCCTCCTTTGCACAAATATGCTGAAAGGATTCCTTCTTAGCCTTGGGACACCGGATCTTCCAGCAAAGCAAGCACCTGACAGCAAACAGGGTCATTTTAAATTTGTGTCTACTCCAGTGTGGGGTCCTCAGAAGGCACTAAACAGAAGCACAGACGATGTGCCTGGGCTTTGGATGAGTCGTGTTCTCTGAAGTTCAGCTTTTCTTGTAGAAAATGCAAATGGTCATCATTGCTGTGTTTCTTACCTTTTGTATGTGTGTGAAAAGCAATCTAAAGTGAGTGAGATGCTACCCCAGGCAGTGCTTCCCAACTGCAAGCTATGTGAAAATAGAAAACAGGATTGTTTTGATGAGGGTCAAATTGGTGGCTGAGTGAGCGGTGGTTTGGGACACAGGGAGATGGCAGGGTCATTGCAAAGGTCCAGGCCAAGCTAAGGTGGGATTGCTGGCAAGGAGCTTCCTAGTGTGACAGAAGGGGAATCCTGCCTCTGTCCAGGTGGCAAGGTGCTCTGTACTAGGCGAGAGACCAAAAACTTGGGAAGTGCTTGCCGTCTTCTCTTCAGGAAAGCTCCCTCTGGATCAACTATGATTGGATGGATCTACTTATATGAGGCTTCATCTGCCAACACCTGAGTGCTCAAGAGAGAAAGCACTTAGAGATTTTCTTTTCAAAGTCTGCCTTGGGTCAGTTTGTATTTGATTTTCCTGTGCTGAAACCAAACCAAACAAACAAAAAACCACCCCGATAAGTTGGAGTTTGTTTTCAGCACCAACACGAGTTGGTTTCAGTTTATTTGCTTGCATTAGATCTCTGTACTAAACATGGCAGGAAAGGACATTTGAGCTGGAGATGCTGCTGGGGATGGCTTGGGAGGGAGTAATGGGGGTCATCCCGGGGAGGGACAAACTCTAAACCCTCACATGCTCAGCTGGGTTGTGTTGAGAAGCTCCAATTCCCCAGGAACAATTGAGTTAGCTTCCTGAGGCCACCATGACAGATTACCACAAACAATGGCGCTTTGTTCTCAAGTCCCAGGCTGGAGGGCTGAGATCTGGAGTGGGCAGGCTCACACCCTCTGGACAGGAAAGCCAGGTCTGAGCCTGGCCTCTTTCAGTCTGGGGCTGCTGCATCCTTCTTTTATTTTTTTTTTTTATAATTTTTTTTTTAATTTTATTTAAGGAGAAAAGAAAAAAAAAGCAGAGAAAGGGTACAAGTTATACAGATTTGCAGAAAAAAATGAACAGTGGGAAATTACTAGTTAATGGATTACATATTGTCATCTTAGAAATAATTGTTCAAGTCACAAAATTAAAGCTTGTAAAGTGGACATTCCATCAATGATACTGCAAAGAGTTCTGTTCAATGATCCAATAAAACTCTGTGATATCATATTCTATCTTATACACTTAAATATACATGCAGTAATATAGTTTAGAGCACTTTCTTTTCCTCTCTTTTGTACAATGACTATTACACATTTTGGGTTTCATTGCTCTCACGGTTCTTATTACTTTGCTGCATCCTTCTAATCTCTCCCCCATCTGCATGGTTCTTTCTTCTTAATATGTCTGCCATATTCTTCTCCGCCTTGCTCTGTTTTTCTGTTTTTTTTTTAAATTAAATTTTAATATTTATTAGTACATGTTTGCAGTATATTGTGATTACGTTCCTTATGGGGAGTTGATAGATGTAAACAACACATCTGAATTCTTTTTTCATTCTTTTTTCTTCTTCTCTTCCCTCCTTACTCCATCTCTTGGCCCCTATTAATTTTGCAAAAGATCTATCTTTTTGTTTTCTATTACCTATCTATCAATCTATCTATCTGTCTTTTATTTTGCTCTTTAATTTCTTTATACTTTGGATTTTCCATACTTGAGAAATCATTCAACCTATGTGTCTTATTTCACTTAGCATTATGGTCTCAGTTGTAACTCTTGTCTTCTGTGTGATTCAAGTTTATTTTTATTCATGGCAGAATAATATTTCACTGTGTATGAATACCACATTTTAAACTGGGCATGATGGGGCACGCCTAGAATCCAAGTACTTGAGAGGCTGAGGCAGGAGGATCACTGTGAATTCAAGACCGGCCTGGGCTAAATAGCCAATCTCTGTCTCAAACAAAAAATAAAAAACAGCTTTCCCATTTTTTTTATCCATTTATCTTTTGATGGACACAAAGGCTGCTTCCAAGATTCAATTATCTGAGTTGTGTTGCCATGAACATGGTATGCATGTGTCACTAAAATATAACGTGTTTAACTTTCTGGGGAAGATACTTAGAAAAGAATACCTGGATCAAATGGTATTTCTAATTTCAGGTCTTTGGGGAGTCTCCATACTAATTTGCATCATGGCCGCACCAGTTTACATTCTCACCAGTGGTGTAAAGGGTTCCTTTGTCTCTGCAGCCTCACCAGCATTTGTTATGATTTGATTTCTTGATCCTGGCCATTTTTTCTGGAGTAAGATGAAATCGCAGTGCTGTTTAATTGCTCTAATGGCCAGAGATGTTGAACATCCTCCTTCAGAGGAGTGTCTGTTCATTTCACTTGCCCATTTTTGATTCAGGGGGTCTACATTTTTTAGTTCATTATACATTCTAGATATTAGTCCTTTGAGAAATAGCTAGAAAAAATTTACATTCCATTCTGTAGGTTGTCTCTTCATGATTTTGATTGTTTCCTTTGCTGTACAGAAGCTTTTTAATTTGCTATGATTCCATTTATTAATTCTTGATGTTATTTTTTTGTGGAATTGGGATTCCATACAGAAAGCCCTTGCCTATGCCTTCTCTGCAAGGATTTTACTTGTCTTATCTTCTAGCAGTTAAGTATTTCCATTTTAATATTTAGACTTTGGTCCATTTTGATTTTAGTTTAGTACGTGATAATAGATATGGATTTAAATTTGATTTTCTGCAAGTAAATAGCCAATTTTCCCAGCACCATTTACTAAACAGGCTGTCTTTCCTCCAGTGTATGTTTCTGGCCTTTTGTCAAATATCATGTTTTCTTTATCCTCTATTGTGTTTTATTGACCCACTAGTATGTGTTTGTGCCAGGACTATGGCTTTTTATCATTGAAACTTTATGATACAACTTGAAATGTGGGATTGTGATGCCTCCTGCTTTGTGGTTTTTGCCCAGGATTGTTTTGATTCTTCTGATTCTGCTTTTGTTGTTGTTGTTGTTGAGTTAATTTGGTCTATTGTGTTTTTCTTATAGTAGATTTTAAAATTTTATTTTAAAGGGAATAAAACAAAACAATAAAACAAATCAGTGAGAACAATATTGGATTTAAAAAACAAGACAGAAGAAAATCACCCATAGTTGTTGTATTACATATTGTTATCCTCTAAATAGATGCTCAGACTATTGACTTTAGGCCTCCAAAGTCAGTCAAGCATTAAGTTGGTTTTTTTTTTTTCTTTTACTTATGTTGCTATCATCTCAGCCTGTGTCTTTCTGAATCAGTTGGTTGCTTGGGGGAGGGATGCTCTTCTTGTCTCCCAGCTTTTGTGCTGGCTGACTCATGGGAGGGTGTGGGTTGGCTTCTCAGTTCCCCTCCTTGGTCCCATGGCTGCTGCCGGCTCACAGGAAGGGTGGGCTGACTTCTAGGTTCTTTTCCCAGCCCATGACTGCTGCTGGATCATGGGAGAGAACAGGTGGGCTTCTTGGTTGTCCTCCTAGCTCACCTATTTTGCTTTATTCTTACAAAGACATTTGTCTTTGGATTTTTGGTCCAACTGATTAATCCTTACAAAAGCCTTAATTATATCTGCAACCTGTTTTTCCCCAAATAATCATGGTTATAGGTTCAAGTAGTTAGATATGGCCATATGTTTTTGGGAAACCCTTTTCAATCCACTATGGTGATTTAAAAAGGTTTTGCTATGTGAATTAAATCAGTGCAATCTTTGTAATAGAAAATGTGGCAACTTTAGTTTCATTGCATACCTGCTTTGTGCCAGGAATTTTTTTAGTATTTAAATAATGAAAATGGGGGGCTGGGGATTTAGCTCAGTGGCATAAGCGCCTGCCTTGAAAGCAGGCAGTCCTGGGTTCGATCCCCAGTACCGATAAAAAGGAAAAAGACTAAAAAAAAAAAAAAAAAATGGAAATGTCTTTGATTTGGCAATTTGAAAACTTGAAATCGCCAGGTAGATATGCTAATCACAGATTGGAAGGATTTATTTATGTGAAGGTTGCCCATGGTAACACTGTAAGAGAAACACAAGTTGATAAAATCAAAATGTTCATTGATGAGCAACTGCTGGAAAATCGAATACTTTCCATGTTATGGAATGCATGGGGTGGCAAAAGAATTAGGCGTACTATTGATAGGAAAGGTCTATTAAATTGTAAGTTTGGCAAACTATAGAATTTGTATTAGTGTGAATAATGTATGTGTTGGCATGTGCATAAACTTTAGAGGAAAGTAACAAATCCAGGGAGCTGTTAGTAGGGATTATCTTTTTTTTAGAAAAAA